ATCACTGTGATTGTTTTCTGACTTCAATTACGTCTATTAAATCTACTTCACTCGAAATGTACTATAATAGACAGATGAAGTCGGCGTTTCTTGCCCGCCAGGACTGCAAAGTATGAACTGTGATTGAACATAGTTGTGAATTTTCAACTATCTTTCAAGACAATTCTTTAAATATATATATTCAGAATAATGATACACCATGTGTGTATTCAATAGTCTGTGCAATTATCTCTGTGCAATGTTCCATCGAGGTGTATACCATATATAACTCTTATTTTCTATTTCTATTACATCTCATATTTTAGTTTTATTGTATGTGAATTTACATATCATTGTTTTGTGTTGTGTTGTCTTGAGCTGCTGTAATAACTGCATTATTTTTGGTTTGCCGTTTTTTTAACAAAAAATAAAAAATTAAATGACCATTAGAATTAAAGGTATGCATTTTTTAAATACATATTTATCATTTCTGAGAGCAAAATGTAACAAGGATATGAACAGACACAATTGGGAAAAGAAACACAGCACATCCTAAGTAATAACAAAAACCACTGTTAAGTTTAATGCAAAGCATTTTTCCTAAAAAAATAAAAATGTGTCCGTACCCTGAAAAAATGTAAAAATGCACACGACCCTAGATCTTATCAAACACTCCTCCTCTACATTCATTATAAAATCTCACTCTCCAGGTGTAATGTGTTCGCTATTTCTTTCAACCACATCTAGGTATAGAGTCCATTTTCCACACTAGCTAACTTAAATTCACTTTTTCTTCAATCACCATTCCAAACAAAACAATGATGTATGACTTTTTTCAGACTTATTGGCAAAAGATAACAAGCTAGTTGCAGTTAAATGACTGAATTTCTGAAATGTATTGCAGATACTGTGGGGATGCTTTTTTGTAAATGATTTTATCTTAACAATAACGAATGCATCAATTTAGCCGGGGTGGTAAAACCCAAATCTAAAAGACCACCTTGTATGAAACCCACTAAAGCTGTGACATGGTTGTTGTTTTTTTAGTAATCTTAATTGAGCACATAAGTACAAACATCAAGACACATTTTCATATCTAATTCAACAAATATCTATCTAGTTAGTACCACTTCATGCGCCTGTGCATTTCAAGAAGCACGCTACCAGTCATGTGACAATAACACACTGGGTCAAACACTGTAAAACGAGCTAAAGTTACTTCTGTTCATATTTTCAAAATAAAACAACGACTTGCAAAGTGCAATAATGAAAAGTAACATACCTAGAAGAAGAATATAAATATAAATAAATGGAAATAAACAGACCTACTTTTTAAATTATTTTCCTCAGCAATGCTAAGCTAAAAACTATAAGCTATTTGTATTTTGTGCTGGCCTCAAGTCATATCTATAGTTTTGTTTTGAAAGTGTATCCGTCTTGTTTCCGCTATGACGCTAGCTAACTGTAGCTAGCTTAACGCGGCTGTCAGAGGGTTCGAAGTACAGAAAGACAGGCTGAACGCAGGGTCGTTGTCCTCCGCAGTGAAAGCAGCATGGCTCCGCTGAAGTTCTGTGCGAACATTTCCTGGCTCTTCACGGAGATTCCAGAATTCAGTCAGCGGATATACGCGGCTGCTTCGGCTGGCTTTCAGGCCGTAGAGGCAGCCTGGCTGTACGACTGCGACCTGCAGGAGCTTCAGAGGGCCAGGGAGGCTACAGGAGTGGAGGTGGTCCTCATCAACACCCCGCCGGGTAACCAGCAGCATGGGCCTCACACTGAGCTTCAGCCAGACCGATACTGATGCTTAGTAATAATTAGAGCATGATGATGATGATGATGGTGGTAATAGTGAGCGTGTGTGTGTGTGTGTGTGTGTGTGTGTGTGTGTGGTGTGTGTGTGGTGTGATGTCTCTCTCTCTCTCGCAGGAGATGTAAAGGCAGGTGATCTTGGTCTTGGAGCAGTTCCTGGAAGAGAGGCAGAGTTCAGACAGGGTCTGGATCTGGCTCTGAAGTATGCAAGAGCGTTGGACTGCAAAAGGTAAAGCATCTGAGTAAAGCTCAGTGGATATCCACTTCTGTATTGTTTTCACTCCCAAACCAGTTTGGAGAATAACAAATAGACCATTTGCACAGCAGCCAGTTCGACATGAAATCGTAGAGTAAACAATAATAAATGGGACATCTACGGAGTCAAAACTAAAGCAGAAGTGTAACGCTTAACAGTGTAATTATAGAAATGTATTAAAGAAACCCTTTTGACAGCAGCCATTTCGACCTAGTATAGTAGGATAAACACAGGTGTTACCAATGATACTAATTAAGGCACTGTTCCATTTAGTGTAGCAGAGCCTTCCAGTGAGCCAGCATGCACACTAGCAGCACTCGACTCTGTTTGACTTCAATAAGTATCATTGGTAACGCCTGTGTTTACCCTGCTATTTCCTGTCAGAATGGCTGCTGTGAAAAAGGTCTATTAGTTTTTACAACTGTAAGTGTAAGTGTTGCTATATAGGCCCAGACGTGCTGAAAGAGTCTGGGATGTGCATTTTGAGGTACCAAAAGTGCTAAAAGCACATCGCTTTCAGGGTGTATATAAGTAAAAGGACCAAATAATATTATGTGTTCAGTTGCTTTTCAGTACCGGTATTGTGTGCAGGTTGTTCATTTAAAAAAAACTAAACTTCTGTTGTGCTTGGACTTTTTTCTTTATCAATGTTAAAAATTCAGGTATTGTGCCACTGGCTGATAAGTTTTTTATATAAGTGTCTATATAGTGATGTAAGGACATAAAGCACGTTTTCACCTTTTCAATTTTGCACAAGTGTGTAAAGCATTTGCCGTGAATTCATCAGGATCCACCTGATGGCAGGGAGGGTTCCTGTGGGCTCACACAGAATGGCGGTTGCCAAGGAGATGGAGGCCATCTTTGTGCAGAACCTAAACTATGCTGCTGAAATCCTCTCAAAGGTGGGTGACCTTATCTGTCCAACATAATAACAGCTTTCTGCAGTAGGGAATTTCTGCACAAATATAGTGATATGGCAAAAAAAAAGGTAAGATGTACGTAAGATTAAAAGAAAACCAAAATATTATTAAATATGATTTAACTGAAGGATATAGGAATTTATTATACTACAAGATTTATACTACAATATACTTCAAGAATGACAAGTATATGTCTCATTCTAAAAACAAATCCAAGAGTACCAATAATTAATTTGTGCTTTTGAATAAATTACTCATGCCATGTCACTGTGAAATCGGACATGTGGAAAGCTCCCCGATCTAGGTCACTATCAGAATTAGTTTATTACCAGACTGATTTGGTCAGTCAGACGATGCAGCAACCCACTTGGATGTGAGAAGTAGCATGGCTTTTAGACTCTTGAAGCTACAGTAGTTAATTTTTATAAAAATATCTTTTTGTCATATTTTCAAGATCAGGTGCCTTGATCACATGACATTTCATTCCATATGTTCAAAGTTTCATTCCATATATTCATTGCTTTTAGACTCTTAAAGCTACAGTAGATCATTTTTAAAATATTTTTTGTCATATTTTATGAAACTTTCACTATATCCTGACAGTAGTACAATCGGGTTCCTCTGGCCAAATGTGGGTGGGGCTAATCAGAAGTGGCTCATTTAAGCCTGAAATTGATATAGGTTGATCAGAAAAACTATTCATAGAACAACTTTTTTTTGTTTTTGTATAAAAGTTGCTATATTTACATTTGCTAGGCTGTCAGAGGTATGGATACTTAGATAATTGTTTGATACCACATGTTTAAAATGATTCGATACTATCATTCAATAGTATCCAAAGTACCAAAGCTCCAACCCAGGGCTGCACAGATAAAACAATGGGGAAGAAACTCCACTGGTTCCCATTATGTGTTCAGTTGCTTTTCAGTACCGGTATTGTGTGCAGGTTGTTCATTTAAAAAAAGCTAAACTTCTGTTGTGCTTGGACTTTTTTCTTTGTATCAATGTTAAAAATTCAGGTATTGTGCCAAGCTTTCTCGTTTCACACTTGTACTCACATTAAGTCCATTATCTTTCGGGACAGAGCACTTGCTCAACCCTAAGTTTGTAGTATTCATCTATTTGTTGCACTGGATGTATAATATGTCACATATTAGTTAGATAGGATTAGTTTAACAGCACACCACCTTGAATAAATGCTTCCTAATATAATTGTGATTTCTTTTTTGATGGAGCACCGTATCACCTTATGATTTGTTAAGGTTGTGAAATGTCACTGATCCTCACAGGAAGGAATCACTGGTTTGATTGAACCAATCAACACAAGGATTACAGATCCCAGGTACTTCCTCGACTCTCCTCATCAAGGTAAGACACTGTGTGAGACAATGCAGACACTAACCAGCACATGGAACAACCTGTGAAAAACAAATGGTGTTTCATTAGCATGAAGTAGTTTTTACGAATCACTTTAATTATTACTAGGGATGTCCGATAATATCGGCCCTCCGATATTATCGGCCGATATTCACTAAAAAAATTTAATATCGGGGATTTATCGCGTATCGGTTGTTTGATAACCAATGCTGTAGGCTTCCAGCATTTTGTCCTGAGCCTGCCATGAACGCCCAGATGGACGTTTTACCGCGCCTGCCTGAGGATGGACGATAACAACAACAACTACACGCTAGAACTGGTGGGTTGCTAACGTGGCTAACAAGCAACAGCGCTTTCCGGCAATGTATGCCATCCTCCAGAATGAAACACAAAAAAACAAATTTAACCGGATTCGT